TATATTTAACATATTCAATGCGTTCAACACAGATAACATGATATTGTATTATATTACTATATGAATTCACAGCTATATTCATACTGAATATGAGAAAAAGAAGAACATTTACAGTCAATTCTTGAATTGTAAGAACTGTATTGTGACGAGGCGGAACCGAAGCGGTGGCTAATCGGCGGCGTCACGTAGGTAGTTATCTGGGGAGCCGTATAGGTAGGCTTGACTATCTTGCTTGAATAGTGAGCTCGTGGGCTATAGGGTTATTGCGAGGATATCATAGGTACAGTACTTAGTATGCTAAGAAGATTGTATGAGAATTGCAGTAACTCTTGTATATATTGCCAGAGGGAAAAAACAAATCACTGGCTCCTTTGATGAGGAGCCAGCATCTAGCTATTCCATATAGACAATGAGAGGACACCCCCCCTCTACTCTATGAGTGAGGATAGCCGGAGTGATACCGCAGTGGCGCCTCACTGACATGTAAGAAGTAATCTGCTGACCTCATATAGAAGCGGGGTTCTTATATCCATCAATTGGATCCTCCTATATTGCATCCAAGTGATGTCATAGAGTGGTTGGAAACCGGTTCGAACGCCTGCGGGATGAATGGAATCATCCGCAGGGAAGCGATGGGCCGCGTGGAGCCGCAACGGGGCCTTGGCGCGGCCAGGGGCGGTGACATGTATGAGCTCATAGCTGTGTTCATATGAAAGAAACCAGAAGATTTGCAGAACTGTATATTTACAGTGAGTATGAATTATAAATAAAGAAAAACTGAATCTTTGCAGAGAGAGATAAATTATGTTATACTTCTCTATAAAAGAGTGTTTTATTGTATTGCAGCAGCAGCAATTGCAGTAATTGAAGCAGTAATTATCTGCTTAATGAGTGGTGACTATCTATACAGGCCATTGCAGCTTTCTATACAGGCTGTTGCGGCTTCCTCTACAGATGGTCACATGAGGTGTGCATTTTTTCAACCAATCATATCACAGAATGGGGCCTGTAAGATTGCACCTTCTATTCTAATCATGTTTTTAAAGCACCTAACATATTGCTTCACTTCGCTCCGCAAATTACAGCAGAAAGGCACAAAAAAAGCCATTTGACTCAAATGTCACTATAGGCTGCCGTAGTAACTAATAGCTTTAACCATCCATTTCCGGGCTATTGGTGGCAAAATTGTGTTCATTATTGGCAGCCAAAGCGGCTCATAGATCCACTGAAGGCCTTAATTGTGCGACGTGAATTGTTGCCGTGTGGTCCTCACGCCACCGTACTGGTAGAATTCTTTCTCAGACATATCGAAAAACGGAGGAATGAGGCGCACAAGAGTGGGATCCTAGGGACCTTCCCCCTGTGTATTTGCAAGAATCACAGGTTGGCTGTTCTTAAACTTGCGCAAAAGATTTCCGGATGGCCCACGAAAGCTTTGGTGAATGTAGGTACATGTACTCTACGAGTCGATCGCAACGCCGCTGAGACTCAAAAGTAACCTTTCCGACACGTTTATAGAAACATGGGTTGGTAGTTTTGTCCCTGGATGATAGGCTTTTAGGGTTAAATCATCAAATGGAGAGCCATCCAGATGCTTCTAAATTGACATTGTCATAACAATAACTCCAGACAATTTCGGCCTCGATGCGCCATGTCAGGTCTGCGTCAACGGACCAGTTCACCTCCGAGCGGGGCGGAGGGCGGAGGGCGGGGCTGGACGGCAGAAACGACATAAAGTTGAGTCTAGTTCTACTTGCGGCTAGCGTATTACAATTTTTCATTGTCATGGACTGACTAAGCTAGATGGTGGGTAAGAAAAGTGCTCCAGCAAGCAACACAACCACGTTCCATTTAATAGAAGCGGCCCACGACATATACCCTACGCATTTCTCGGTATAGAACACAGCCATTAAACACCAAAGATGTCGGCACCAAGCGATTTTGATCCGGAAAATGCCCAGAACTTGGAGGATGTAAGTCATATCTGCCCCGCCCACACTCCTGATACCCCCTTATATTTAGTATGGTGATTGTATCTAACAGCTACCCTCGCCCAATTCAGATTGAAAAGCAGTTTGCAGTCAAAGGTGTGGTTTACCAAAATTAAATCATATGAACCGTCGAAAATCTTTTTGCTGACCGTCCTGCGCACTTTCAGCGGTTCAACATATGACAACATACTGGTCCCTCCTGGAAACGACACGAGGGTCTAATTTGCGCTTGACAAAAATGGACGACGAGATATATGAGCATTTCATGAGTGTGTTTCCCGAATTTGACCCTGCGGCGACGATTGATGAGGATGAGATGAAGAGCAAGGGAGGCAAGGAAAGGTGGAGATCTTTCCTCATGGCTTACGATAAGAAGGTTGAGGATTATAACTTCGGGACACTGTTGAGAGCCAATCCCAAATGGGAGTATGGGGAGAAAGAGACAATTTTTTGTACGGTCTATTCCTTGGAATCTCAAACTCCGATCATCGATTCTTCCAATAAGGAGGACGCGTTGGACGTTTGCAATTTACGAAATAAACTATATTTGCTAACGGTTTTACTCTCATGACAGCTGTTCGCATGCAATTCTACGCCATCGAAATTGCAAGGTATGGCCGTCCCTTTCCAGTGGTGTTATTTCCTTCACAACCCAAATCTAATATGCCCGGTCCCACAGAAATCGGGCTGGATTAAACGACTGGGTTTACGAGCAGGCACACCCAGAGGAGAAAAAAGGATCATCATAACAAGCGCCACTGAACATATAACCACATAGACTTCACATAAATACACACGAGGAACCTCACAAGGCGTTCACAGCTCGGTGGCCTTTGGTTCCATTGAGCTTTAGTGTTCAATTTAAGGCCACGTTACTTGCAAACCACCCATGAGGAACAGATAATTTTTGAGAGAATATAAAAATTCAGATCGACCACCATGTCACGATTTTTGCCAATGATTTGGACTTTCTTTCATAATGCGATTATTTAGAGTGTTCAGCAAGAACATACCGCTCTACACATAAGAAACAATTTGACAGGTAGGGAGGGGTCTTTGATAATTTTGTTGCTTGCATGTATATCTGCAATCGAACAAAAAGCCTACTCAATATATGCTATGTGCGGAATATACCATGTAATGTTATGTTACTATGTACGGCAGCCTGTAGTGTCACTATAAATTTGAGTTTTTTTGTGATTTTTTATACTGGTGTTACTATGCACACATATTAATCATATTGATTCTATTTATAATTAAACAGAGCTCAGTAATTATATATCTATGCTACACAGAGCTATAAGAAGATAAGCTTGATAAATAATATAATTTATTATCTATTTGTACATGTATAAGCATTAAACGCTCACTTACGCTCGCTTTGCTGCTGGCGCAATCTCTTCTATCACTTCCACTCTCTACCTTCTAGACTGAGTGTGTGACCGTGTCTGAGACCAGGACCAGAATATTTGATAGTCTCATTACCAATTTGATTGATCTCATTTCACAGTATTAAGATCAGAGAGTAGTCTTGTACTATCTCAGTGAGACTTAGTATCTATTTATGTCACATTTTCAAAATAAGATCATGATTTTCACTTCTCAAGTTAAATTCATTTTATTACTTTAAATGACTTTAAATCTCATTTAAGTATTACTAAATAGCATTACTTTTTAAAAAATTAAAAATAGTATAAAAAAACCTTAAAATGTCTAAAAAAATAACTTTATACTAAGAATGAAACTAAATAAAACTAAATAAGATTACTTTTATATTTTTTCTAAGTTATAGTCTCATTTTAAGATCTGATAAATAGTTACTTTATATGTTGTTTTAATAACTAGTCTCAGCAGAATTGATATTAAGAAATGTATAAGACTAGACTAAATAAGATAAAATATAAAATTTATAATCTTATCAGTTAGTTTACTATCTTTAGACTAATTAACAGAATTATAAATTTCATATTTAATCTTATTGAATCTGATCTTATACATTTCTTAGCATGAATTCTGCTGAGACTACTTAAGGAAAAAACATGCAACATAACTATTAATCAGATGTTAAAATGAAACTTGTAAGAAGTTTATATTAAATAAATCAGTATGATATTTATAGATCTTATAATATAAAAGTGAAAAATATTAGATGTGACAGGCTGCGTCTGATCATTATATAGATCATTTCTTTACACTTCATAGATTTCACTGAAAGCTTCAATTCTCAGTCTTTCACAATCACTGATTCTCAGCTGAAAAACTCACAGAATTTCTATTCTTTCACTCTGAAGCTTCACTATGTACACACTGTGTACATGTATAAATATTCACTCTGATCACTGATTCTCACACTTTCTCTTTCTTTTTCTTCTTTAATATTTTTCACTTTGTTATATAAGATCTATAAATATTATATTAATCAATTCAGTGTAGGCCTCTTACACTTGAAAAATATTCATTGTCTTCTTATATAATTCGGAAGAACGTACAACCGCCGGATAATAACGCGGCCGCTTTCAAACACGCTTATGAATGTAAAGAGGTCATAGCAGCTACTAATTAATTTAGTATAATATATATAAGAAGCTGATGTACATCTGTAATTATACACTGACTCAAGCAATCTTTGAATCACATCTGATAGCATGTCTGAAAACTGGTAAGAAGTGCAGACTTCTTCAGAATATGATAATTTCATTTATAAAGTAATTCATAGTTATCATATCAGTGTGATTTTAAAATATCTTAAAAGATAGTATATAAAGAAGTAGTGAGTGAAAGAGCTTCTAATTAATACTGCTCTGCTTATTGAAGAAAAACTTCACACTCAGATAAATACTATGTATGTGAACAGATAAGATATGAGAAAAGAGATAAGAGTGATAAATCAGATTTAAAGAAGATTACTCTCTACTCAGAAGAATAAAAAGAAGAGATAACTATTATCAGAGTTGTATAATAAGAACAGAAATTATATCATGATATAATCATATCATGATATAATTATATAATGATATAATGATAGACATTATATAATTAATAAGAAATTACTGAAATAAATATCTCTTTTAATTAATATGAATAACATTCTTCTCTGCTATCTGAATCAAAAGATATACAGAATCTCTCAGAGAGTTTACTTAAAGCAGTAAGAAAAGTAACTGAGATTATCAAATCAGAAGTAAAACTCTGTACATGTATAAGAATTCTAAATAAGATTCAGACCTTGTGTACACAGTGACAGACTGAGACAGAAGTTAAGCAATAATTGATATTCACTGCAGATCAAGTATTCACTATGAAGAGCTTCACTGACATGATCACTATCATTAATAAGAATAGAGAAGATCAGGTCATAGATCTGTAATAAGAGATAGAATGTTTTCACAGATAGATAATCATACTAAATCTGAAGATCTCACTATAATTATTCATAACTTTCTCAGAAGTGTACATATTATCTGAGATCACTGCATATAATGAGAATTTAAGTATGAAATATATCAAGTTAGAAGATCTGTCAGAGCTATTAAGCTTTAATAGTAACTGAAAAAATGATGCTGCAATCAGCTAGCTAAGTCAGATACAATTATATTATCAGATTAAACATGAACTTATAGATAGATAGTTAATAGAATTTCAACAAGTTCTAAGATGTGCTGCATTTCTACATAGAAAAGTGAAGTCATTATAAATAACTAATAAAAAGATAAATCTTACAGACTCAGAGTAATATTCATTCTCATGAAATGAAATGAGTTTTTCAAATGAATCTTACATAACTTTGAGGAAGTGAATATATAAGATAAGTGTTATAAATACTTCACTGAGTGTAGATAAGTGAGTAATCTTATATTATATTTCACACACTTCAGCTTACACTATCTCACATTGAATAAAGAGCTTTTAATATCTTTCTATTTATAGATCTTCATTCATGATCTTACATCTGAGTTGAGAGTGAAATGAAAATACTTAATCTTATAATCAGATATAATGAAAGAAGTATATAATATTCTCATTGTACAGAAATAAGTAAGTCAATTATAATAGAAAATACTGCAATTGAGTGTATCTTAACAGAGAACAGACAATCAGACTTTTATAACACAGATTATATATCTGAATGTGATAAATCTAGATCTGAATATCATTACTAAAGTACTGAATTCTCTGAAAAATAAATTCTCTGAGTGAAAATCTTGATATCATGAGTATTAAGCTTACTTCAACTGTGAATGCTAAAATCATGATACAAAGAATTACATATAGTGTGCACAGTTAAGAAAAGCAAGAGAGTTAAAAAACTAGCAGAATCAGTGAGCTCAGAGACACTCACTGATATTCTATAAAAAGTCTTCAAAGTGAAAGAGATATCTGTGTTAGATGACTCTCTGAATTCTGTAAATATCAAGAAAAAGCAGACTTCTGACTGAGGCATAGATGAGAATGAAGTGAATACTCATCTCAATATCTTAAGACTTAAAATGTTTATATATAGAGAGCACTTGAGTAAGAATTGAGAGATGACTGTAAAAGTATTAGTGAATATAGAAGCTTCTACACAATATATTAATAATTATATAATTTAAAGACTGAAAGAGATCTGCTGAGTGAAGAATCTCTGATATATAAGATTATCTAATAACTAATATTTAATATTATCTATAAGAGTAAGAGTTCTCTTGCACTTTAAAGAATGATCTTGCTATATTTAAGTATGAGAGCTGCAGAATGTGAAATACAACCTTATTCTCAGACTCAATTGATTTCAAAGATTCAATTCACAGATTCAATGATGTACATATTATATACAGTTAACTGATAGAAAGAAAACAGTTCATACAATTCTATTAACTGATATGAGAAGAATATTTCACATCTCTGATATAAAAGAGTTAAATCTGCTTATACATTAATAAGCAAAGAGAATGATTTATAAGACCTTATCTGAAAGAATTCTGTATGTCATACAGAACTCAGAAGCAGAGAAAACTAAGATAAAAGATATGTAGAAGAATAAGTGTATGAAGAAACTTCTGAAGAAGTATGAAAAGATCTTCTGAACAGATTTTTCACTGAAATTGCTGCTGACATGACAATTTGTACATGAGATTAACACAGAGAACATAAAATCAGTTAATCAAAATGTGTACTCTCTGTTACAAACACATATTGAAGAACAGAAGTATCAGATCACAGACCTTCTAGAATATGATCTCATATAACTCTTATTAAGTGTATGATGCTTTTCAGTTCTATTCATGAAAAAGACAGATGAGAAGTGACAGATGTGTGTCAATTATTAAGTACTTAATAAGCTTATAATCAAGAATGAATATTCACTATCATGAATTCAATAACAGTTGAATACAGATAGAAACACTTAATATCTATTGAAGATTGATTTTCTCTCAGAATACTGACAGATCTATGTAGATAAACTGTCAGTATCACTAGACTGACCGTGTGACCGTGTCTGGGACCAGGACCAGATTTTTTGATAGTCTCATTACCAATTCAACTGATCCCATTACACGGTTTTAACATTAGATAGTAGTCTCATACTGTCCCAGTGGGACTTACTCTCTACTCTTGTCACATTTTCCAAATGAAACCATGATTTCCACTTCTCAATTTAAATTATTTTTATTGCTTTAAATGACTTTAAATCTCATTTGAGTGTTACCAAAAAGTGTTACTTTTTAAAAAATTAAAAATAGTCTAAAAAAAACCTTAAAATGTCTAAAAATAGTAACTTTATGCCAAGAATGGGACTAAATGAGACCAAATGGGACCACTTTCTCATTTTTTTCAAGTCATGGTTTCATTTTAAGATCTGATATATAGTCACTTTACATGTTTTTTTGTTGACCAGTCCCAGCGGGATTCACGCCAAGAAATGTATGAGACCAGACCAAATGAGACCAAATGTGAAATTCATGGTCCCAGCGGCCAGTCTAAGTATCACAAACTGTATTTAATATATAATGAGAGAAGTTTAAATTCCTGATAATGTCATTTGATCTGATAAATATATTTATCATCTTTCAAATAATAATGAATACAATTCTTTATAAACAGAATGAAATCTCATATCTTGTATATCTGAATAATATTCTAGTCTTCTCAAACTCATATAATGAATATCTGAAGCATTTTGATAAAGTGCTTATAACTCTGACAGAGTATAAGCTCTATACTAAATTAACAAAGTATGTGTTTGAAATAGAAGAGTTGAAGTTTAT